AACGAAACAGCAGGACACTTGCACCTGTTTCGCTACTAATGTCCAATGCATCGAATACTGTGACGGAACTCCTCTAGATTTTACACTTCCGGGTATGATAAAGTCCATCGTTACAAGTTATGCACAACCAGACACAAAACAGCTGGTCAGCTATATCGATGTCATGCCAAAGATGTTGAAGATGATTTTAGATCTTTTTATTGCCAAATAATTAATTCATGCTGTGAATAAAGACCTATTTTACTGTTAAATTGTGTAGTTATTGACTGTCTAAGAAATTACACGTCTGATATACAGAATTCAATCAGCATGCAGTACGTAGTACATCAAAACTTTTTCAGAAAAAAAAAAAAAATTAAGATTGAAAACAAATTTTAAAGAGATAATAACAAAATTATCACTATGCCATGAGGCTTAAAATTTAAAATGAAAAGATAGAATTTAAAATTTAATTGTGCATATTAATTATTATGCAAGAAATGAAAAAAAACTTTTACATTGTCATTATTTATTTTTTTTGATTTGTTTTGTTTGTTGTTGTTTTTTTTTTTTTTTGCTAGATGTACCTTGTCATTGGAAAAAAAAATTCAGATTCTTTTTCTCCTTCTTAAATTATTTTTACTAGGATTTCAATACAGAAAAAAATTATTGAAAAGTATTTCAAGTTATAAACAATGAAATAGTTTCATTTTTAAAAAGTTTTATAATGATCAGTGAGCATCACGTGCGCTAAGAAGTCTCCCTAAATTTCAAAACTTCTCCCTAAATTTCTCTGAGGGAGAAGTGAAGTCTCCCTAATTTTTGGGTCTAGGTTGGTCCCTGATATTGCTGTTCATATCACCTGTGTTAATTGACACAGTCAATGCAGCATTGAGTGTATTCTTTTTGTTCATGATACATGTATTTACTATTATCATTTAGATACTGTTACCTGAGTCACAATTGATGTTTTATATGCAATTTATCTGGTAAAAGAGAGTGCAGTAGAAGTGTACTTAATCAATATATGCTTAATCCCATTTAACTCAAAAGAGAATGTTTTGAAGTAGATCATTTCACTTCAGTTAAGGTACTTTTGTTAAAGATTTTCATCATCATCTATATGTTTCTTAATACCTGCTCTGGTACTAGTATTTCTCTCGTTGGTGTCCGTACTTCTATTGATTTCTTTATAGGAGCCACTAAAGCCCCTGGGCTGTCTGGGTCTGCTGTGGAATAGCCCCTGTAAAGTGAGTATTAACATTACACCTCAAGCAATAAACCATTACAATTGATTCACTGGTTTCCCTGTACATGTTCACAAACGCTCTTGAAATGTCTGGATGTGTGACATAAATGTAAATATGCAAAAAAAAAAAACCCAACCAAACAAACAAATAACATTTTTTTTCTAAATCTATGTATACTGTAAAGCGGTTCAGAGTACTGACATGTTTTCCAGACTTCACAAGACCAATTTGTGTTGATTTTTTTTCATAGAGAAAATTCGAGTTATTATTATTGCTTTTTCTAAAGGAATGGGCAGCAAAGAAAAAAGTATTTCGTAAAAAGTCACTTCCCATTTTAGTATGTTTTACCTTGATGCTATCTGCGGAATAAGCCGTTTAAAGCACCGAAGGCCAGTTTGGGTGACCAACGACATTGTTGATGGTTAAACAAAAGAGTTCCACTTGCGGGCAACAACTCGGGAATATTTTTTGATATCTCGCTCAGAATTTTGTCGGATTAAAAAATACTTAAACAGATAAATATTTTTTAATGCCACATATAAAGAACATGTGACCTGTATCATTTTTACATATTTTAACTCATTTATTATTATTGTTGCTTCCCTCAGTGATGTCCATAATTTTATAGGTGTTCAATTTAAATGCAACATCAAACAACCAGATAGCAAATGGAAGAGGTGCCGTACCTTTAAAAATTTCGATGAAGAATCTTTTATATCAGATCTTGCGCAGGTGGATTTCTATTATGAGGACCATAATGATATCAACTTAGCATTTTCTGATTTTAGCAACAAGTTTGTAACCATTATAGACAAGCATGCGCCAATGAAAATGAGAAAAATAAGACCCAATCAGGTTCCATACATGAACAAAGAACTACGCAAAGCTATCTATAACAAAAAAATGCTACACAACAAATACCAAACTTGTAGGTCAAGTAAGAACTGGGAAGCCTATAGAGTTCAAAGGAACTATGTTACAAAGTTAAAGAATAAATCAGTTAATAATTACTTTTTGGAAAGATGTACAGGTGGTCCGAAATCTAAGGACTTCTGGCCCACTATTAAACCCTTTTTAACAAACAAGGGCAGTTGTGCACAGAAAGATACAGTCTTGTTAGAAAATGATGTGATTGAAACTGACCAATCCAAAATACCAGGAATCTTCAACGACTTCTTTGTTAATGTGGCCAAAAATATAGGAAATTCAAATTTAAGCACTGATGATAATCACCCAAGTGTTAAAGCAATTAGGGAAAACTTGCCACAACTCAGTGATCAATCTTTCCAATTTAAACCTATTGATGAAGAATTTATAAGTAAACAAATTAGTAAGATCAATACCAGAAAAGCTACAGGCATAGACGGGATTTCCCCAAAGATACTACATTACGCGAAGCCTGTTATTATCAGTCCCTTGACCAAACTGGTAAATATGTCGCTGTCATCCTCAGTTTTCCCAGATTCCCTTAAAATAGCCCAAGTAGTCCCTATTCACAAAAAGAACAGTGTCTTAGATAAGGGAAACTATAGACCAGTTAGCGTCCTCCCAGCTCTTTCCAAGGTTTTTGAAAATGCAATTAACACTCAAATATCGAACTATTTTGAGAAAATTTTTAACCCTTATTTAGCGGCATTTAGATCAGGGTATGGTTGCCAATCGACCTTATTAAGAATCACCGAGGATTGGAAGAGAGCTCTTGATGAAAATAAATATGTTGCTGCTATTTTAATGGACTTATCCAAGGCATTTGACTGCCTCCCTCATGATCTTGTTCTGCTCAAACTAAAATCTTATGGTCTCTCTCCACCTGCGGTAGATCTGATAAAGAACTATTTATCTTGCAGAAAACAGTGTGTCAAAATTAGTCAAAATGTAAGCACCTTGTTGGATATCTTTAAAGGTGTACCTCAAGGATCAATTCTTGGGCCAGTCATTTTTAATATTTTCATTAATGATATTTTTTATTTTGTAAAAAATTCAGATTTGTACAATTATGCTGATGATAATACCTTATCCAAATCTGATCCTATCTTACAAAATGTTATTACCACTCTTGAAAAGGAAAGTGGCACTCTCATCGATTGGTTTTCAGCTAATAAAATGCAGGCAAACCCAGAAAAATTTCAAGCAATAGCACTGGGGAAAAAGACGCATGATAAAAACATTACTTTAAACTTGAAAGGTACAACTCTTGCCTGTGAGGATGAAGTGAAACTGCTTGGTGTTACTTTTGATTTTAACTTAAATTTCAATTCTCATATACACATGTATCAAATATTTGTAAAAAAGCAGCTCGACAATTAAATGTGTTAAAACGTGTCGGGAAACATCTCTGTAAACTGGGTAAACTTACCATCTACCACTCTTTTATAATGTCCAACTTTAGTTATTGTCCTCTGGTATGGCATTTTAGCAGTGAACAAAATTGCCAAAAAATAGAAAAAATTCAAGAGCGAGCACTAAGATTCATATATAATGACTACACAAGCAGTTATGACCAGCTCTTAGAAAAATCAAACCTCCCCTCACTGAAAATCAGGCGTATGAGAGCCATGGCCCTTGAAGTTTTCAAAATTATAAACAATCAATGCCCACTGTTCCTGCGAGATTTAGTTCAACAGCGAAATTCAACATACAATTTTAGATATCAAAAGACCCTGGAATTACCTAGGCCAAGAACCACTAGGTATGGAAAACAGTCATTCAGCTATGCAGCTGCTACGCTGTGGAATTCTCTACCAAATCATGCTAGGGAACTTTCCACCCTCAGCCAATTTAAAACTTTCATAGAGACATGGACGGGGGAAAAATGCAAATGCAGTTCCTGCAGAAACCACAGCGTAGGGCTGCATAGCTGATGAGACAATGTTTAGAAATAGTTGAATTTTCATTTATTTTTGAAATCTATCATTTTGTCTAATGATATCACCTATCTCATTTTATTTCATTGTTTTCTAGTTGTTTTTTTTTTCCTTTAACCTCACAATATGCATATCTTGCCTGTAGGTAGGGACTGACCCAATCACTAGGCAGGATGTGTATTGATGAGGAACATAAATTACTTAAAAATTATTATTATTATTTATTTTTATTTTTTATTCTTTCCTTCGTTCTCAATTTGGTTTAGCTATGTCTGTGTGAATTTAAATTTCCTAAACTTTCAAATTTATTCATTTATCAGGGTTTTTATTTATTTATTTATTTTTAATATTATTAATAATACAATTAGTTATTTTTATCTGAATTTATGAATTGAACTTAGTGCTTAATTTTATTACATGTACTATCATATGACTTTTATTTATTTATTTATAATACTCACGTTATATTTATTTTTGTTTCTCTTAATGCAATCATATTGCTTTTCAAGTTGTCTATTTTTCTTTAACTTATTCTAAAGAAACTATAAATTCTTAAAATTTGTTAAATTCTTAAAATTCATTTTATCTGTCATAATTTTTGTATGTGTATATATGTACATGTGTTTTTGCATGATAATCTATGTGTAAACGTCTTTCTGTGATATTTTAACTGTGATAGTCGGTTAAAGAGCTCTACAGAGCTCATGTTTATTGTTATGTATGTATACAATGCCGACTTTAAATAAAATTTACTTACTTACTTACTTACTTACTTGACATGAACTAAAGAAAAAATAGGGAAAATGGTATTTTGAATTAATAGTTAATAAATCAAATAAAACACTCTCATCAATGATTTAATTTACAAAATATACAATCTAAAGGAAAAAATGTAAATCAAAAACACACCGGATTAATAAAAAACGAAATAAGAGAAAATAAATTCTATAACGAATAATTCATGACACAACCTGTCTTCAAATGCAAGTGGCGCCCTCATCGTGACAACTGAAAAAACAACATGTCTGACAAAGTTGGATTGAGTAATTAAACACGTATTATTACTGTAAGTAATTCATTGTAAATTAAATTCTCTTGACTGTTGGCTTGAGTGTGCAATATAACACTTTTTACAATTTACTGCAATTCTTTGGTAGCGAAGATTACACATAATAACATTACAGCTGATTTTATAAATTTTGTATGAAAGTCTGTTCAACAGGTCCAGAAAAATCACTATATTTAGCTATGTAGCTTAATTTACCTATGTAGCTCTATTTCGGTATTTTAGAATAAGTTTCTGTTTTATGAAAAGCAGACAAAATGTCGCATGAAAATTATGGCTGATATTTTTTTTTAGAAAGGTTTGATAAAAACAACCTAGGGCATAGATAGTAAAAACAATGCCTCTTTTAAAAACTTTTTAATCAAAAAATGCACCTTTATTGTTTGGATAGCTGTTCCCCCACTGGAAGTGCGATAAGGCATTACTAAGTGTGTTTGCATTGCTTTGTGCTGAATTATTACCAAACCTGCAATTATCGTGTTGACCAAAACTGCTTTTCTTTGTTAAAGACTAAAGTAGCTGCTTAAAGGCAGAGATTTTTAAGCACCGCCTTCAAAAATACCTGGTCTGGGTAGCCCTGTCAATCAAGTGCATGAAGGTACATCATTGGATGCTGGAGTCTGATTGACATTTACTTACTGGTCTCTGTGTATACCCTGTACATTTTTGTTTGGGACTCGTGGTGACCTTCTCATTAACGTTTGATCCTTTGATGATTACTGAACATAGTATACAGAAACTGTATTACTATGAGAATTTTAAATTACATGTGAATTAAATATACATGTACCTTTAGTATTTGAAAGGATTATAACATAACATGCATTAAAAAAAATAACCTTTGGTACATAAAACTTTTTTTTCAAATGGAATTTCAATTTTAATTTTAATATGCTAAATGGTAAACCTAAAGTAAAGATGTTATTAATTAAGTGTGTAGGGATGTTTTCAAACAATCAAAATAAATCAATATATGATTGAAAAACCCTTTTACTACTAATTTTCAAATTAACTCAAAATCCCCAACACAGGTAAAGTTTGACACCAGAGGTATTTCACTGTGTATTAAATCACTTCCTGTGTATAGGGATTAGGAGACAGATGACCACAGGTAGACTGCTAGCCCCCAAGGCATTCACACCTGTACAAAATAAGCTCCTCCCTCACCTGGAATTTACCATCCAGTAAAAAATCTCTGCAAGTTTAATCACATATAAACTGTTATACGTAGCCCCAAAACTTTGAGATCTTTGATTGCAATTGCACAAAAGGAGAAACATTTTTAAAAGTGGGTTTTTGGTTAATTGTTTTCAGTCCATTTCAAAGTTGAAAACTAATACTGCCTCATTATGTAACTTTTTGTCTGCTTTTCTTAAAACATAAATTTACTCTGAAATAGCTAAATAAAGCTATATTATATAGGTAAATAAAGCTATATATAGGTAGATTTAGCTATATAGCTAAATATAGTGATTTTCCTACACCTGTTCAAATTATGTTCGCATCAACAGTAAGTATAATTCCCGATGTGTATTGCAACAGAGACATATAAAAGCCATGTCTATGGTTGCAAGTTCTATACTGCAACTCGATACCAATACCAGCTAAAATATATTTCCATTCTCTTCAATTGTATCACTTTTTGCAGTGTTCTACGAATTGTAAGAAAGGACATTTCACATTAAAATTTAAAAAATCCTACAGGGACACAAATTTTAAGACCAACTTATTAATATTTTCATAATTTCTGACTCACACTTTCCCTTTGACCTTGACCTTGTGTCACAGTTTGCATTTACCTTATGTTGACAGTGCGACCTTTAGGGCAAGCACAGATTCTTATTCAGTTTTACTTTAGATAGATTGGTCCTGTCAGATAGGAGTGAAACGGTTCACCGCAGTATTTTTTCTTGGTTCTATACATGGTTCAAAATCTCTACTTTCGGTTTGGTTCGTTTTTTCGGTCGGGATCATCATTCAGTCGGGTTTGGCATAAGGTTTAAACATGCTTCTCTGTATAATTAGTTAAAAATCGTAAATTTTTGTGGACTTAAAAGTTTGTAAAATAATTTTTAACAGTCAAATCAATTAAATTGATTTATTCTATCCATTTTGCACATAAATTAATTGACTAGATTAAGTAAAAGGATGCATAAAACAACAGTTGACTTTGTTTCACAACAGTTGACTTTGTTTCCTTCCATCAAAATGTATCATATCGAAAATAACCGAACCGAGACCAAATTTTACAATACGTATCGAACTGTGAAGGAGAGGCGTATCGTTTCACCCCGTACTATCAAACAGCACGTGTCATTTGATTTGTAGAGTCTGATGTCACATGATATTGTATGTATGTCAAATTACCACATCAACTTTGAACAGTGCGATGTTTATTCAAAAATGTTGAAAGCTTAAAAGAAATGTTTGTTTCCTGTAAAATTTCTCCAAAATGAAAGGTCGGTGGTCAGGAATTTTCTTTTGGTTATGAACAAAAGGGTGGAACATCCTATGACTGAATTAACCATGTTTTATATGTAGAGCGGACATCTAACACGTTTGCTTTGTGGCAGAAAACAAACTTTAAATTGTTGGGGTGGGGGGATTCTTGTTACAATAATGATTACTCTTTAAATTTAAGGTAAATGTTGGACAAGATTAAGTTGGTTATATCAAATAAAGCTAAAATTTATAATTTTTTAATATATAGAATAAAGGTATTTGATCAGAGGCCTAGTCTTCTATTTATGTGCTTTATACAGTGATATATCCATTAAAATCAAGACAAGTTAATTTTTTTCTTGGAATGTCTTGTTATTTGTTACCATCAGTCGGTGAGAACATAGTTTGTGGAGAATGCATTTCACTAAGGATTATGAGACCACAGATAACAGTACTGCTGTAAAAAATATGTTTGGATCAACGTGTCAGGATAAAAACATCTTGTAAAGATCAAGGACATATAGGCAAAGTATAGATCAGAAAATTATGAAACATTTCAAATGTTCTTACTAATTTGTATCAGTGTATGAAGAATGATAAAGTTATTTTGAAAAGTTATTTTGAAACCAAGGTAATTGCAAAATAAGCAATAGTGATGTCAAGGTCACAGGAATGGTGAACAATATAAAATCATAATACCAGAGACATGTCTCTGAAATACATTTTAATTGTCCTAATTAATTTGTATGTTATAAATGAATAAAATATAATGAAAATATCTTCAATAATTTCCCAGCAGTTAATATAACTGCAAGCACAGCGAGCAAATTTGAAAAATTGGACATTGCAGTGCACATTGTACAAACAGACAAAGATACATGTTGCCATGGTGAGAGGGTGTAACAGAGTAAGAACCTCGTCTTCTCTATTACAGTGACTTTTCCAATGATTTTCAGCATATTTTTATCAAACTTAATACATTTTTGAGAAATGAATTCAATTTTAAAATGATTTGTTTTTATACCCCCCCCCCCCCCCCCCCCGCAAACGAAGTTTGGGGGGGTATATAGAAATCACCTTGTCCGTCTGTCTGTCTAGCTGTCTAGCTGTCCGTCTGTCTGTGCAATCGTGTCCGGTCCATATCTTTCTTACAGAGGGACATTAGAATCTACTACTCCACACAAAGATTGCCCATGACCTAAGGGTGTGTCATGACCTTGACCCAAGGTCATTTGGGGGAAATTGTGTCTGTGTCCATATCTTTCTTATAAATAAACTTGGTAGGTTTTCATTTCACACAAAGATTGCCCATGACCTAAGGGTGTGTCATGACCTTGACCCAAGGCCATTTGGGGAAGTTCAAGGTCACTAGAAGAAAAATTTCATACTTCGTGTCTGGTCCATATCTTTCTTATGGATAAACTTGGTAGGTTGTCATTTCACACAAAGATTGCCCATGACCTAAGGTAGTGCCATGACCTTGACCCAATGTCATTTGGGGAAGTTCAAGGTCACTGGAAGAAAAAATTCATAATTCATGTATGGTCCATATCTTTCTGATGGATAAACTGAGTAGGTTCTCATTTCACACAAAGATAGCCCATGACCCGAGGGTTTGTCTTGAACTTGACCCAAGGTCATTTGGGGAAGTTCAAGGTCATTGGAAGTAAAATTCATAATTTGTGTCCGGTCCATATCTTTCTTATGGATAAACTTGGTAGGTTCTCATTTCACACAAAGATTGCCCATGACCCAAGGGTGTGTCATGACCTTGACCCAAGGTCATTTGGGGAAGTTCAAGGTCACTGGAAGAAAAAATTTATAATTCGTGTCTGGTCCATATCTTTCTTATGGAAAAACTTACTTCTGAAAAACCCAGCGGGGGGTATTTTGTCCCGTTTGGACAGTTCTAGTTCAATTTTCCCTTTGAGTATTTGACCTTGACATTCCCAATAACCTTTTACTTTTATCCTCATTTTTGCATGTTTTATTCATTCTATGATTATTACAGTGTATTTTATTGTAAACTAGTGAATCTCAAATATTCTAACCAAGATGAGAGGAAAGTAGTTACAGATTTGTTTTTACAGTGGGGTAAAAACTCACATTTAACTGTAACTCGAATTTCAGAACAAACAAAATATTTTAGTTTTCCAGTTTTAGTATGGAATATTTAAACACATGACAGAACACTTAAAATCTCCAACAATTTCTGCAAGACAAGAATTTAAAATCCCTTTAAAGTGATACGCTCAGTTGTTTGATTATTTTTTTTTTCTTAATCAGAGTGATCGCTTTTCATGTATGCAGATTCCTCTTCTTTGATGCCCATTTTGGTTATAGTAACATAAACAATTAATTTATTTCTGATCTCATGTAATTCCATCAGCAGTCAATAAGGAATAGACTGTTTTATACCCAGTCTGTATATAGATATAGAGATAATGGTAACAATGATTTTAGTGGTACCTGTCTAACTTGCACTTAAAAAACCTTGAGATATCAACAAGTTAAAATTATAGTAATTCATTTTCTTTTCTCTTGCTATAGGACTTGATGAGGAAATGATACCTTATAAAGTTTTTAATACATACTTATAAAGACATACACAATGGACAGAAGTTTAGGGTAAGTAAGCTCTATTTCTACTTGTTTTAGATGAAACAGATTCTATGTTTGGCATGTGTTATTATGCAATCTTTGCATAAAAGATACATAAATTTTAGGACATTCTATTTCAGTTCTGTTCTAACTTATCAATGAATATATCTATACACATTATACAGTACATCTGCTTATCATTATAAAATTCTGTTACTTGCTTAATTTGGTAGGTCTCGACTGCAGACATTGTTTCAACAATTGGAAAAGATCGGGGGCAAGCAGGCAAGAAACCAGACTAGCACTGAGGACCTACAGTCGATTAGATATGTCACTACTAAAATCTACCAGATTCTCAACTCACAAGGTAGCCATTAAATTTACAAATAAAATATGTTTCCTCCAAGGATTCCACATGTAGGTTACAATTGTACTTAATATGGACATGTGCCAATATGAATACTACAAAAAAAGGGTTGTAATCAGCAAACAAACTGTATCTTTTTTTTTACTCATATACTGGTATGTTTTGACATTGTTTTTCATATCAGCATTCGTTAATTAAGATCAGTGAGTTTTGGATAAAGGAAATCAATTATTCTCTAAAAACTTTACCATTTTTCATGTGGGCATAAAAAAGAGAATAAAGGTTGAAAGGTTAACGACATTAGAGAGAAATCTATTTTCTAGCCTCTGGTAATATACAGAGTCCTGGTAAGTACAGATTCTGATGCATGTAAGTAATTGATTGACAACAGAGGTGACTTCATCATTTTATCATTACATAATATATGTCAATTTGACAACAATTCTGACAAATCTGAAAGGCCCAAAAATTTAATATTGTATAAGAATTGCATTACATGTATCAGGTGTTATAATAATATTTTGGGCATTATTTGGAGAATGCTTTTATAATTCCTTGGAAATTGTTGAAAAAGAAAAAACTACTACACATGAAGCCATTTGATTGACGTTGAAATTTTAATATTTGAGCATGGTTTTGGTAGTGTAATAGGCTATACGGATTTCTAGAGGGTGAACTAACAAGAATTTCTGACACTTATTAAATATGGACTAAAACAATCACATTAATCAGATGCTTGATTGCCATGTTTCTGTAACACTTGATTTAACGAGAGGAATGCATTTCCTACAGACAAAGCTCACAGGGACACAGTCATTAAGAACTCGGGATGGATCGATCTAATTCTGGCTACTTTAAAGGTAAATATCATGATCAGTTTTCAGGCTTTTATGTTTGTTTAATGATTACTTCAAAGTAATGTATATTCACTGCTAGATTACTTGTAATCTCTTGTGTAAACAAGCCATTTTAAATTAACTTGTAAAGAAAATACAGACAGTGAATGAATATAGATATATCTTGTATTTTTTTATATATATAGAACACAAGTGACAGAGCTGTACTTTTGAACACAATACAGATTTTAGCAGAAATTGTAGGGAAAACTCGTGAGTAAATAAAGATATACAAAGTATATTCTTAAATGGAAGAAATATGGTCAGTCACATTACCCAGTTGAATGTTAGAATGGTGAACCAAAGAAAATAATTAATGTCACACTTTAGATAATTAAGAAAAAAAATAGTTGAAAATAGAAAGAGTGATACATGACCAAATTATTCATTTTAAAAGACATATCAGAATCAGACCAATTCCTGTATGAGCTGTATATATTACAAAGCTACATCTTTGTATAACAGATAATATTAAACATTAGCTGTTCTTTTGCTTTAATGGCCTTTCATTCTTTTCACAGAGGTTGGTAAACGAGCCAGTGTGCTAGTGAGTGCCAATGCCACCAACATTTTATTCCAGCTGGTCTATAGAGAGGCTGAGGACCAAATGTCCACCGACGAAACCATGATGCTGGCTCACTACATCCTGGGAAAACTCTCCCAGAAAGGTGAATATTGGAACTTCTAAAAGCAGTGTTAATCAATTCTTATTTGTCTGTAAATTGATTTTTTTTTGTTTAAAAATTAAAGTGATTGTCTTTTCATTCTCTATTATTTCAGACCGTAAATTTGCAACCAAAGCAAGACTTAACTTGGTCCTGTTAATCACTCTGAATTTGATCAAGAATAATCTGTACAACTTTAAGAATCTTCAGTCATTACTACAGGTGTTCAAAGCCTACACAAACAATAGTAAGTCTGGCTTTTATATCATTTTCTTCTTATGTACCTGTGTTTATAAAGCTTGTTATTTTTAAGGATAAAGGAAACGGTAAAAGTTTGTACATGTATTTCAATACCTTTATGAATTTGATTAAAACTTCTTTTATTTTTAAGACTGATATAATTCTGTTTTTGTGACAGGTGTGAATGCCTCCTACCTGGGGAAGCAGAACTCCATTCCTCCCATGTTCCGCGTGATCCAGCAATGTGGGAGGAAACACACAGCGATCCTGAAGCTGGCGCTGGACATCCTGACAAACCTCACCAAGTCAAGTAAACACCCCCCTCTCACTGTACTCAGCTCACTGTACTTAGTCTGTTGTATAAAAATCAAAGTTGTAAAGGCTTCACAGTACATGTTACTGCTTAATGTTTGGGGTTCATTTTTTTGCAAAGTATCTTCGAAGAAAAGATATGCATGATTTTAGTGTCTGTAAATCTTTTGTAAAACTGTCAGAAATGTAGTATTGTGTAATTGTTGTATGCTATATTGTGAAGCTTTGGTACCTTGGCAATGTTAAGATGAAGAGACATATTTTATCAGGGAACAATGCAGCAAGAACGATAGGTGGGGAGCACGTCCCACATCTATTGGCACTGTACCATGAATGGCACCAGCTGGACACCAAACACAGACATGTCAGTCTCAGGAAAGCCATCCTAAACATCCTGAAAAATATCACCAATCTCCGTAAGTCACTGAAAGCTATCCTAAACATCCTGAAAAATATCACCAATCCCTGTAAGTCACAAAAACTGTCTTAAACATCGTAAGTCACTGAAAGCCATCCTAAACATCCTGAAAAATATCACCAATCTTTGTAAGTCACAAAAACTGTCTTAAACATCCTGAAAATGTCACCAATCTTCGTAAGTCACTGAAAGCTATCCTAAACATCCTGAAAAATATCACCAATCTTCATAAGTCACTAAGCACTGGCTTTTGTTTTGATGACTCGCTCAGTGAAATGTGTTAACACTTTCTTTTCACTTGGATTATTTTGGAAGTGTGTTGAATAGTTATGTAAGTTGCTATTATTATGAACCAGAATAAAGGCATGTAATGCATACACTTTATGAAAATCTCTATCTTTAAAATGTCCATTATAAAAGCATCTCAATTCAATCTGTCTAAGCAAAAAAATTGTCCAAGACCTTATAAACGAATTGATCAATATCAATTGATAAATGCATTAGAGCTCACTCGAGCTTATGAATATAATTCAGTGTAAAAAGAACACTCTCAAAGTCCAATGTCTATTTATAAATTCCAAAACCCCTATCCATCTCTTATCCTCAAAACTGAAAATGTACATTTGAAAGTGACTAACGAGAGAATGTATTGCAATTATTCTAGGGACTGTAAAGTATTTACTAAGGTAATTTACAAAAACATTGGTTATAGCAGGAAGAGGATATTTACTAAACAGTAGTTGTCAGCAGTTTTAAGTTGGTAATCAGGTCAATAGTGAAAAGAATTTCAGTTGAGGAGTGTAGGGGTAGTTTTATTCAAGTAGTATTCAGGTAGAATATGATTTTCATTCTTCCTGAATCCATACTGGTCGGAGAGCTAAAATTTACTGAGTCTCTTAAATTAAGCTTGGAGAATATGTGGAATAAGATAGGTTTAGATAAAACACTATAAGCCCTGAGTGAGTTACTGCTCCCTCCTTTAGGCTCTGGGAGGAAGGCCCTGGCTGATGCTAATGGGATCCAGGTCCTGTATGACAGTGCCCTGGAGGTGATAGATTGTCGGGAGATGGAGAGCTTGATTCTTCTGGCCAGCGTTATCATGAGGAAGTGCTGTCCCAGAAATAAACTGCCCCTAGACAATCTACAGAGTCCATACTGCCAGGAACTGCCCGAGTCTGACCTGTATCCAACAGGACAAGGTAAGATTGGAGTTATTTAACATACAAATCACAGAGCATCGTATTTTAATGTCGCCTTATTTTCTGAGATAGTGACATGTATTACAGTATTTTTTACCAAATCAAAATTTTCATAAAGTTTGATTATTGTTACAAATAGCATATACAAATAATTTTATGATGTGAAATACATACATATAGTCATGAATTATTTGTGAGAAAACTTTCTTGCATAATTTATATGGAAAAATTAAGTTCTCTTGAATATAAAATGATGTACAGTATAGTATATAAAAAATATAAGGAATATCATGTTTCATAGATTGTATCCCTGAGTCTTATTATCTGACAAGTCTTTTTATCTGTAGATGGGTTGAATGACAATGGTTTTAATGGTAACTCCCCGGACAGTGATAACAGCTCACTAGAGGAGGATGACGACATTGATTCCGATGATGAAAGGTTCAAAACAGAGGACCATTCAGAAGAGGTAGGAATACAGATAAAATGTTGAAAATGACTTAAGTAGTCCATTTCCCACAGATTATAGAAAAGCTTATACCAGAGGTATGTCAGTTTGTCTTTTGACTATATATGAATTTCCCGTGTTTAGGCTGAGGATGATGCCACTGAAGCACCAGAGCCATACAAGAGAACTCCAGAGGACCTGAGAATGTACGACAATTTCTTCCCAGAACTGTTTGAAATTGAGGTCAGTCTGATTGTTTTAAGAAGTTAAAACTTCAGTATTTCATAACAATTTATCTGTTTAAATCAGATTCAATTTCTGAAAATAAATTCTTTGAGGTTATCCCTTACCAGTTCAGTGAGCTTTGCTCTGATAAGGAAAATATAAATTTCAGCCCCAGGATGATGATGAGCCGTCAGCTTCTATTTATATCCCCACGGGTAACATAGACTCCTACGGAACTGTTCCTTCTGAGCCTGAGCCCAGACAAACTGCTGTCAGAATGCCAACAGCCTCCAGTTACTCCAGCTCTAAAAGTAGTGGCTACAGCTCCTTACATTACGATACACCAGACTACGAGTCTTACGGTGCTACGCGGTGTGACTCCGCCACTGCCATCAACCTTAAAACCGGAACCAGTGTGTTCTCATTGGACGGACCCTTATCTCAACCAGCCAAAGCCCCGCCCAGTGCCAAACCCAAACAACTGCTGCAAAAATCAAACAGTTCCTCCTCCTCACTTCGTAAGCAGAAAGGAAGTAAGAAAATAGCAAAAGACAAAAAGAAGAAGAGTTCTTCCTCCTTGTCTTCTCCAGCCAGTACAGGAGTGAGGCTGAATGAAGCAGAGACCGAGTTCTGTAATGCGTTGTGTATCACCCCATTCCCCTCCTCCAGTAAGGAGTTTGACCTTGATCGGGAGGGGTACAGCAGTGATGAGGAGGAGATGGACCAGTGCCTTCACAGCCCCATCGTATTCCAGGAACTGGCTGGTGCCACCAAGAGTGTCTTCAGGTTTGAGAAGCTGGCATATCCAGACTTAGTGGGAGGGAAATCCCCACCTAGTCTGGAGGGACTGTATCACAGAAAATTTGGAGTTCAGAGGTTTGTATACACTCCTCAACTCGGTATAGAACAAAATGTATACAGTATTCTTTGTGAATTCTAAGGATAAGAATGAAATTTTTTAGTACATTTATAAGAAAATGTTTTGTTGTAGGATGAAAGTGTTTGAGGACATAGACAGAATGATCCACCCAGAACATGTTATAGACCGCGTGGTGTATGATGTGGATACCGTGGTAGCCCGGGCCTCTAGTGCCTACTCCCCATCTAACTCTAACCTCAGTAACAGGGACCAGATGAGGTAACACTGTCAACTTAGTTCTAGTAGATATTGTACTAGATCACCACCAGATTTTGTTGTAACAGTAGTTAAAGCAACAATATGAATCATTTAATTTTAATGGAGTCAAAGATTGGAACATCTAACCAACAGAAATGAAAAATGTTTTAAATATAAGTATAAGGACCCCATTGGGAATAAGTCTTTGGCTTTCATGGCTTATTCTTGGTTCACCACTAGAAAATAAAATTACCATCTCTTATTTTATGGCACTGAAATCCATGTAAATCTCTTATTTGACTTTCAACTGGCATATTATTGTTTTTGCTTAAGGGCTATTTTGCAATAACAAGTACTTACAAAAAAAAGGCACCTGCAGTACACACTGCATGATTTTTTTTTACCTAAAATGTAGGTTACCTGTTTTTTTTATCAACAGGATAGGAAGTCGACTTGAGGCTGGTGGGTCTGCTTCATTACGTTTTAATTCACAGTTTGAGAGTGGCAATCTCAGGAAGGCCATCTGGGTAAGAACACAAGGCACTGTCAGTAAACCTGGCTGTATTACTGTAATAACAGTTTGAGTATGACCCTATTACTATGTCTATTTATAAGTTCAAGAGTTTGAGTTTGACCTTATTTCTGTATCTGTTTATAGGTTCGAGAGTTTGAGTATGACCTTATTTTAAACCCAGATGTGAACACCAATCACCACCACCAGTGGTTCTATTTTGAGGTCAGCAATATGATTGCTGATGTGCCTTATAGGTTTAACATTGTCAACTGTGAGAAACTCAACAGCCAGTTTAACTTTGGTAGGTTTCAGATACTCTTAAGGATCCTTAGAAGATTTATTATGAAAAGTGATGGAATAAAATTTTGTTACTAATTGTTAAACATTATAAACATTGTAATATACTAATACATACTAACAAACTTAAATTTTTCTTGAAGAACTTCATTTTGTGGGGGGAAAATGTACAATTGTAATATTGATTTATTCAATTAAAAAAAAAAAAAAGCTAGATTTGACTCCTATATCTGTAGGAATGAAACCGGTGATGTTTTCTGTGACTGAAGCCATGGATGGAAAGCCATATTGGTTTAGGAAGGGCTCCACCATCTGTTACTATAAAAATCACTTCACTCGCAGTGCCCAGGCAACGGGGGGAGTCAAGGGAAAGACTTATTATACTGCCACCTTCACTGTGACTTTCAAACATGACAAAGACATCTGTTACCTAGCATACCACTATCCTTACACATTTACCACTCTACAGACCCATCTGAACCTGTGGGAGCAGTATCTAGACCATACTCAGATCTTCTTCAGGAAACAGACCCTCTGTAATACAATCACTGGTAACGGGGTCCCTGTCCTCACCATTACAGCCCAGCCCAAGTCACTGAGCAAGGACTTTGTGGATGACCTCAGTAAGTATTACAGCCCAAGTCACTGAGCAAGGACTTTGTGGATGACCTCAGTAAGTATTACAGCCCAAGTCGCTGAGAAAGGACTTGTAGATAACCTCAGTTAGTATATTGGTTCAGCCCAAATCACGTCCCTTAACTTGGCACTGGAAGCAAATTTTTAAAAAATCTCTCGGATAAAATAACTTCAGATAAAAACACATAGTTCCTATAAATTTCATGAAAATCCACCCATAATTGGACTTGTTTATGACTCCAGTAAGTATAACAGTCCAGTTAGTGTCACTCATACTACAGGCCAAACAGCTGAGCAAGACTGTTGAAGGATCACATATTAATTTAAAAAAAGAGAATTTCTGTCAGAACATCATAAACATCCACTTTGCTTTAGTAACTAAAGCTCACTTTTTGATGACATATTTGAAATAGCATTACATGTTACAGATATATAACATAAGTTAATTTTTGTACTTACTTTTTGTCACAGGAAGTAGACCATACATATTTCTATCAGGAAGAGTTCATCCAGGAGAAAGTAACTCTAGCTGGGTCATGAAAGGTAACTTGAGACATTTTAACCTGCAGAGCATGACACTTATATGGCACCTGTATTTCTATATGAAATCAAAGAAGAAATGCATAATACATGTATAATCTATATGGATTCTGGTTCTGCAGGCACAATAGATTTCCTGTTGAGCAAGAGACCTGCAGCCCAGCTACTGAGAGAGACCTACATCTTTAAGATTGTCCCCATGCTAAATCCTGATGGTGTCATCAATGGATGGTAAAGTGACTTTGTGCTCTCATGTTTTGCCTGTAATTTAAAGAGAGAAACTCTGATTGCTGAAGAATTACTAACATTTTGATATTACCTATATATTACAGTCACAGATTAGCTATATACAACCCTTTACAGTCCTATATATCTACCAGATGTTCAACCGCAGCAGAAGATAAAACTGAACAGAAGATGAAAATTCATCAACATCTTATAAAGAAAGACTAAAACACTAATGGACAACCCTTGTCCTAAACTCGTCATTTACGTTACGTTACGTTAGCCGTAGATTGTTTCGCATGTGAAACGAACGGGAAGCATTTAATACTTTTCCTTCTTTGTTATTACATATAACATTTAAAAAATTAAACAGTCTCTTTTCCTAAACTATTCTTTAAAAATGTATGCTCTTGCTACATCAGTGAAAAATTGTCATTTATGTGAAAGGATTATTTAGAATCATGCAGTGCCGATTTATGCAAAGCAGGTTTAATACCGTAACGAAATCAATACAGTATACTTTTACTCTGGTTAAATTAATTGTAAAAAAAAATGTATACAAATGATAGGCTACACAAAATTTTAGGTAAGTTCCTATGGTAAGCATGTAAAACAAGTGAACTCTGATGAAAATTCAACATGTAGCATTCGTAGAAAATAACTATATATAGCTTTCCATTAGTTTAAATAAAAGGAATAAAATCCCATTGAAATATTTCAACATATAGTTTGTCTGCCTTCTGCATCTGGCCTCTGATTTTCAGGTTTTCTGTGACTACCATGGTCATTCCAGAAGAAAGAACATTTTTATTTATGGCTGCTGTCCCACCCTGTCCTACATACAGAATGACACCAAAAATCCAGCATGCACAGGAAATAAGACAGAGGATAATTCATTTAAGGTAAACTTCATGGCTTATTTTTAGGTCACTCAAGGTTCTTGGTTAACGGCTGTGATCAGTTCTTGTCCATTGCTTGTGTTATGAAATGTGTGTAAATTTTTGGATATTAAAGTTTTTTCTCTCTGTGTGTTAATTAGTTCATTTTTATATACTGCAGTAACTATAGGCACAAAAATTGATTGATTGACCCTGTTTATGGAGTGAATTCCATCAACATAACTTTAGTGTTAATCTTAAAAATGATAATGATTTATAAATGTGTCAAGTAATAAAGTTGTTGAGGTTTACTGTTTACTGAAAAGTTTTCTTTTTTCCAGACATTACCCAGAATCCTTCATCTGACCTCACCCGTGTTTTCATGGCAGAATTGTAGCTTTGTAGTAGAGAAAGCAAAGGAAACCACTGCTCGTGTGGTGGTGTGGCGACAGATTGGTGTTATACGCAGTTATACTATGGAAAGCTCATACTGTGGCATTGACAAGGACGGAAAATTCAAGGTCGGAATCTAATTAGTTATATTTCAGTGTTGCGATAATGTCATTTCCATTATCATATTTCTTTGATGTAGTTTTCTACTCTTCAGTAAATCACTAACAGTGAATTGTGAGAGAGTGGTATAATGCTAGAAATGGAAAAGGGCAACTTATCTGATAAGATGTTCATGTTGAGAAACAGACAGCTAAGTTTGTAGAAGAATGGTCAGCAACAAATAGTATTAGTATTAATTCAGAGTACTAGTATCTGTATACATGTATTATGATTTGACCTTTACAGGACCAGCATATTTCTACCTTTATGTTGGAGGAGATGGGACAGAAGTTTTGTGAGGGACTACTGAGACTGAAGACCAGACACTCGGGAAAGGATCAAGCAGTGTCCCTCCCATTCATGGAGGGAGGACCCTCCTCTAATGAGCCCACTCAAGAATCTGGGTATGTGTACTGTTATTATTTACCTGAGACTTAGCAGGGTTAGGATGTCCTTGATTAAGTCACCTGTCTTACTACAAATCTATCAATACCTCAGTTTTTCAGTAGTGATGCCATTGCTGGCATGTGGTAGCAAATTAATTTATGTACTTTTCTGCTTGAAACTCTTGTCAAACCTACTGCAAACAGAGTTTTGGGAGTATGTTGGGTAACCCTGTTTGTCTGTGCAATCATGTTAGGGCTATGCCTTTGTAATGAAGAAGCTCTTATTTAGATTAAGAGTATGTGACCCGAGGGCTTGTCATGACCTTGACCCAAAACCATTCTGACAAGTTGAAGGACACTGACAGAAAAATTGTAAAAGATCTGAAGGTTTGTCATGATCTTTACTGAATGTCATTCCGTTAAGTCTAGAGTCAAAGAAATTATATGATTCTTGCACAGTTTATAATTTCCCTTTAGAGAAAATTTGGCAATTCATATTGCATTGACTTGAAGGAAATGTCAAGATGTTGAACCATGCGGTATCATTTGATCAAGTTTAAAATTGCTCAAAAAAATGTTTAATTTCTGTGTTGGGCAATCTTATGATGAAAAGCATTAGTGGCTTATGTTGCATATGATCTAGGGGGTATTTATTGACCATGACTCAGGGTTATTCTAGCAAGTTCAACATCCCTGAAAACACAGTGATTTATCTGCGTCCTACCTAGAACTTTTAAAGGGAGACTAATTGGAATTTGACACTAAGAGTGCTTATGACTAAAGGCTGTGATGTGGTTTTTAGATCAGGGTCACCTTGGAAAATTCAAGATCATGTTTATAAAACCATTATTTTCATAAAATCAGAATTTTTAGCAGCTTTTACATTTGGTTCGTAAATAATGTGTTACACAGATAGCTGATGTTATTCACAAGTTAATTAAGGAATGAAGCATATTTCAATTTATGTTATACAATATAACATAACTTGGGACAGTTTACACTTTATAAACCACAAAGCGGTTAATAAAAAGCATAAACTGCCCAATGTTATGTTATATTGTATAACATAAATAGAAATAAGCTTCATTCCTTATAATTTAATTTCGTTGTTGACAATGAGAAAATTTTATGCTTCATATTGAGCATATTTTAAAAGTAACATCAAGCAGAGTAATACGCTTTTTACAAAACTCATTGTGACATAGGCAACTTTTGTTATACGAAATGGATTATATTTTTTACCCAATCAAATGACGTGTTACAACTAAAATTAAATAATTGTAATCTATTGATAGCTCCGATGAATTGCTGGCAGAGGCTGATGAAGATATAAACCTCCCTGATGAACAAATCCTTTACGGGGCTGAGGATGAGGAATATGATGAGGATGATGAAGATGAAATGTACGAGGAAGATGAAACTTATGATGATGACAGGAATTAAACAAAGAAGATTCTGAATGGATCCAGAGAAGGGTGGAATTATGGTGGAATTAAACCTAAATGAGTGCTTAAGGCTTGTGATTAGTGATTAGTAAAATGTATACAATGGACATAGAGATTGTCATAGAATGGAGATTCATAAAGGTTGTTATGTAGGGAAAAAAGAGATATCCGTGATGTCAAACAAGGTAGCTACCAAAAGAAAGAAGATAGAGATCTGTTTGTGTTTGCATTTATGGCAATCAATTGCTTATTGATCACCATATACAGTGTACATGTATTGAGTCAGTTTTTTGTTTTTCACAGAGGTAACTTCATATAACATAGGTTGTTTTTTTTTTATGAATTTTTATTTCACATACATGTAATTATTAATAAGTCTTCAGCATTGGTGATATTTGAATTCAAATTTTAACTTAGGAAATATATCTGACAGCTGATTTAATTCTTTTAAATGCATTCAGTAAGTAGTCTCTTTTGTTATCTATTGTGTGCAGTAGAGATTCCAAGATGAGGCCAAAAAAAAATTAATTAATAGTTTCTCAGGCCAAAAAATTCAAAATTCAATGCGGCAGGCAGGCTTCTTTTTTTTTTTTTTTTTTTTTTGGGAAGCAGGTTTTACAACTTTTTTTTTGTAAGTCATTTGTGCAGTAAAATCATAATATCTACTAATTCTTAAGTTTTATTCTCTGAAATTAGTTATAATATGCATTCAACTTTAAATAATGTTATTCCAAACATTTATTTAAAAGTTAACTGATAAAACACTTTATATTTAGAAGAAATATATTGTTTTTCTAATAAAAACGTCTTTCTTAGCATTTATGAACAGGGGAATAACTCGATTTTCTTTTTCAACTTAGAAAAATAGAAAATTGAGTTATTTCCCTTTTCAATATGTCAATAAAATTGATCAATGCGGCTGTTTTTGAACTGATGCGGCGGTGCCTGAGAAACTATTGATTAATTTGTTTTGGCCTAAATGCCTCAATGAAGCTTCATTGTTTATCATAGTAAATGTATTTTTAGCTGCAGAACTGTAGCTCTCCGAAAAAAAAAATATGTTGACAGACCAGAGAGCTACAGTGCCACCCATTGTAAAAACTGTATATTTATTGCGCACAAAAAAATTGCGCTTATTTCTGGATTAATTCTTCCAAATTCTTACCTCAATCGCAAAAAAGATAAATATAAAAAAAAAGTTCTCACACCTCCATCAAGTACTCTCATAGTTCGCATCTGCTGGAAGTGCATTGGACTGAATTATCTTAAAACCAAAATGGCAGTACATGTATAAATAGAGGACATTTTCTATGATCTGAATTTCAGGGTCAGGAGGGCTATTAAAATCAATTTTAAGATATGTTTTTTGTTGAAACAGTGAAAGAATATATTAAGAACAAACGGTTAGTAATATTTTGAGACGACAGTTTAAAAACATGAAGAAATAAATTGAGAAACAGCACAGTTTTTTCAATGGGTGGCACTGTAGCTCTCCAGTCTGTCCATATACTGTAGATTCCTTATTTTTCGCGAGTACTATTATGATCATGTACTGGCTCTTTAATTCCTGAATGAACAGTCGATCAATAGGATTTGAATGGATTTCAGCACCCTATAAATAAAGCGTGTAATATTATTTCCTCGCGAAATTACAAGGAAATTAATTCCTTGCATATAGTTAGGAATCTACAGTATTTTTTTTTTTTTGGAGAGCTGCAGCTTATGTTTTTTATGAACATCTAACATGCATTAATTTTTTTTGTCAATTACATGTTTAAATCAGGGGCATTTAGCATTAATCTTATAATTTATATGCTTATATGTTTTCATCAAACATAATTTAACAATATTCAGTAGATCACAAACTCAGATATTCTGAATGCAATTCTGCCAGTATTAATTGTATATTCTTTCCTGTTCAGAGTGCAGTAAGCAGTATGCTTATCATAGTCACGGTTCTAATTCATGTCTTTGAGCCCTGTGAACAATAGCTATTATGTCACAGTTCTTTTGTAGTCGTCGATGATAACATGTTTTATCCTATGAATTTTTCAAACAATCATTTAGGTGCAATACGTAAAAACGTAATGTTATTAATTCATAGTAGCATTTTCTGTCTATGGAATGTTATTTTGAAGCTTATGGTGTAGTGGTATGACAATCTGGCTTCATTTACATAACAGTTTATTATCACAAGACTTTAATTTTAAAAATAATTAATTTTAAGTTTTGTTTGTTTTCTTAATTTTAAATGTAAAATATAATATTTTAACTAGCAATATCCCAAATTTTGTTGAAACACATCCAAGACCTTTGATTTCAACAACATGTATGATGGAGAGGGGAAAGAGTATTCTATGAACTGTTGTTTTTAATATCTAAACGTAGAAGCTATATAGAGAATATTCCTTTATATGTATTATTAAGCAGTGATATTTCTTTGAAAAGTTTTAGTTTAAAATCTTTAAAATGTCCCATAAATAGAACAGGAGGGAATGAAAAAGAATGTACAACGGTTACATGTAAGTTTTAGACAAGATATTACAATTGGTGTAACTCATACAGAGCTTCAATCCAATCTGTATTCAGTATGTGATGTGTGACTGTGATATACGTAAAGACTGCTGTATAGTTATAACATTTTATTTGTATACAAGTAAAATATTATATTTATTACAATCTGACTGTGTTTGTATTGTCTGGAGGATGTTGCTATATATATCCATCTGTGTTTGTATGAAGTAAATTCTTTTTAATGAATTTGAGGGTGCATTTAAATAAAATTAATGTGTTATTAAGATTATCTGAATTTATTTAAGTGAATCCCAAAATCTTTATAGCAGATTTGATTCCTGATAAGAAATTCAAAAAATGAAACAAATTAAATCAAGCAGACAATTCATAGGTTGAGCTTAAACTTATTCTTGATAGGTTCTAAATGGGCTTTTGTTCATTCTCTGTACTAAATGATGCATATATTATCCATTCTAAATACAGATTCAGATTTTCCCTTTCAAACATGTTCTTACCCACAAAGTCTGACATAATCTTCAACAAAAGTCTGGTATAATCTTCAACAGAATTCATAAAAGAAAATCGAATGTAAAAAATATTGGCATCTACGTGTGTTAAAGCTGAACACGATTCATAAAAGGAATTTTTTCCGCCATATTCGATCAGTCTCTCGCTATATCAGGGACCCTATATAAAGCCGCTCACTTAGTCACTGGTCTGTGTAATCAATCTTTAGAAAGAAATGTTCATTCAAGGTATTCCATAAAATTTATAAGCTATCAAAGTGACGAACAGCATACAAACACGTGTTCGACTGATAATCTAATAAACATGATAAATTCACATCATGCACATTATTCACCGCAATATGTTTTTTACATAAGCGGGGAATCTAACTCTGTCTCTCTTAACTTTTTTTTAAAATCTCCATTTCAATGAACATCAAGTTGCTAGTCAAAGAGTTGAGTGTCCTAAAGCATTATGACGAATACATGTATTTCTTCCTCGTTTCTTAAGAAATGGGCTTGCCATCAGGCGCGGATCCAGGAATTGAAGTTAGAGGGGTCGCCAAAAAGAGACAAGGGGTCTGGGGGCAAAGCCCTGGTGGGGTCCTAGGGGGCAAAGCCCTGGTGGGGTCCAGGGCGAAGCCCCCTTAAGCTCCTGGGTTCTAGAGATTTTGTAGGGTAAAAGTGAGGTCTACCAAGTAGACATAGTTACATTTGCTAGACGAAACTGTGATTTACGTAAACTTTGACAATTTTAGGGGCGCGCGCCGGGTTCGCCCCCCCTTAAATCCGCCACTGGCCATTCGACAATTCAACGCCGATACCTGACAATAAAGCAACCAGGAGTAATGAATGCGAAGAGTTTACCCCGGTACTGATATGGCAGCAGACTCATTTTATAAAGACTGACATATAGGCTATATAAAAAAGGAAAGTCAAATGGTTAGACTCTTATTGGGTTATAGCATAACCGAATCTACTCGGACCTTCCCGTCAAATAAGGGAAACTTACATTTATAAGTAGGTATTATTGAAGAAATATAGAATTAGAGCCTGTTGGGAATTTGCATAAAAAAATCTGCTTTCGTTTCAATAATTAGAAAAGGGGTTTTCCGATTTTGCGCAATAGTTACATATAAACTGAAAGTAAAAAAGAAACACATAGTAAACTTTTGAAGTAAATTAGAACTATTATTTCAAATGCATATTCCACTAATTCCAGTATTGTTACCAAACATTTAAATTAATCTTTAATCAATAAGTTTCCCAAGAAATCTCGTCCAGTTTTCCAAAGCGAGGGAGCTCTTCTTTCATCTTACAAAATAAAAAAAATTCCCTTCATCATAGGTAGGTTTTTAAACTTTCCAATTTCAATGAAAAATTGAAATCACTAATTTTCGTGGGGGTTTAATTTTGTTGTTTTCAAGGATTCGAGAAACCCCACGAATTAATGACCACCACGAAATGTAAAATTTCATATGCATTACTACTAAACATTTTCCAACCACGAAATCAAATCCCAACAAATCAATATTACCCCGGTATTTCCTTAGACCTCAAAATTTTCATCCTTTGGCCCCTTGAAAATATGTGATTTCATAGTATTCAAAGAATGTGCAGAAATTCGATATTTACATAACACTGACTTTTCTTTGTATGTCAATCGCTTAACAAGATATCTTTTCAAATCAAATGCGTCAATTTAACAAAACACATTTTGATGAGCTTTCAAAAACTCTATAACAACTTTGTAAAAATGCATCAGTAAGACGCTGTTCTACAAGAAAAGAAAACTGTTTAATGACAAAACTAACTTCTTGTTGTTCCCAAAAAATTCCAAGATCTATACAATTTTTCTGTTGTTCTTCATACTCACATAACATTTGTTTATAAACATGTCTGCAGAAAACAATTACTAGTATTTGTATTGAGAAAATTACACCAGAATTTCAAAGTCGAAGTTTTCTTTGAATATATACATTGGGCATCTACCAAATTGAAAATAAACCATTACTTTAATTATTTGTAGATTTGCGAAGCAACATAATTTCCTTTAAAAAATTAATATGCACTTGCTCAACATATGGGGCTTTATGATATCCCCATGTCTCACATCCATAATGCAGAACAGAACCTATATATGTATAAAACAGAGAGAGCGAAGTCTCAACATTGAGATTATTCTCTTTTACCCTTTTCCACAAAGAAAAAGTACATTTTTTTAGCTTTGGTAGCAATTGATTTCGGTATACAATCGAATTTACCATTGTATTTGAAATTATCTCCTAGGTATGTGAATCAGGTCAGCAATTTCGAGATCAGATTTATCAAAGAAACACATTTTAAAGCTTTTCACTTTACCACCATTTCGAAAAACTACCATTTTTGTTTTGATAACATTAACCTCTGAATTGCATTGATCTGTGTAAGACTTCAGCACACTGTGTTCAATGTATCAAACATTTTCCGCAGAGCCTAAACACTTTCTAGAAAAAAAACAGTATCAACCGCGTATAAAAGAAAAACAGATTCAAATTTTGAAGATGAATACTATAACATTGATGAGAGAGCTTCACCAATAGATCTCTTTGTAAAGAAAAATAAATCTTTTCTTATACGATATGTGAAAACAAGCTTTGTGCTTCTGAGTGATATGTTTGGTTGTAAATTTAATGTAACATTTACGTTTAAAAAAAATCATGTAATCCATAATGTCCAATTTTGTAAGCTAATTAGCGTTTGAAGTAATCA